TATTCCTTATTTATCTTCTTTCAAGAGTTCCAAATGGTTCCTTTTCCCAAAACATCTTGTTCTTTTCTCTTTATCATTCTACTTCCGTCCTCTCTGTCATTTTATCTCCCTGACTCCAACCCCCTTTTGTCCTTTAATAATCAAGTGAGAGAAGTTCATCTCTACACAGGTATTTATCAAACTTTTCATTTTATTTTATTTTCATTAGTATTGTGATATGTTGCGTATTGCTGTTTTCTTGTTATACCTTTGAACGTTAAAGCATTTAGCATTTAGTCACAGATTTAATGCAAACATGGGATATTGATGCCACAATGTTGCTCTGAAACACCTTAATTTCTTCATTATGCTGATTTCTTTCTCCCTTCTTTCTTCGTGTCGCAGATAACCACAGGAGAAGCATGTATCTACAGATGACCCAGGATGGCAGAGTGTCAGGAAGTGACATTCAGACACTTTACAGTGAGTACTGAAAGCAACAGGCAGCATAGGATCCATTTTTCAGATCCATCAACTTAATACACTGGATCAGTTATGAAGATGACACATCTATATATGTTTCGTGTTTCAAGGTGTGCTGCAGCTTAAATCTGTTCAACCAGGCCACGTAGTCATCCAGGGACTGTCATCATCCCTGTTCCTCTGTGTGGACAGCGGAGGCCGTCTGAGGGGACAGGTACAGTCACCAAAGAACAGCTGTGACATCCTAAAGTCATCTTAGCCATTTGCTGACAGCTGTCTTTTGTCACTTTTCAGACGCACTACTCAGAGGCTGACTGCACCTTCCAGGAGCTGCTGCTGGCAGACGGCTACACCCGCTTCCTCTCCTCGCACCATGGATTTCCGGTGTCGCTGGCATTGAAAAACTCCCCAGGTCGACACACGGTCCCCTTTACTCGGTTCCTACCACTTACAAACACTCTGACAAGAGAGAGCATGTCTGAACGACCACCAAACAGTCAGAGTCATTTCAACATGGATACAGATGACCTTCTGGGAATGGGCCTAAACTCTATGGTCAGTCCTCAGTTCTCAGCGAGGAAATGACCTGCATTGATCTTTTAAGGTACAGTACATGGGCCTTTTAAAACATTTCACTGACCCTGCAGACTTGATTCTGATATGGAAAGAGCAGCTTGTTCTTTTATGTATTTATCTTGACAATATTATTATTATTATTATTATATTATTTTAAGTTATTTATTTATTGTGATGTTTGGCTCCAGGTTCTGATATTTTCTTGTTTGTAATTTGAGAAATTGTTTGGGTCTGAGGAAAAATGTTCCGTGTTGCAACAAAAACAACATTTCTCCAAATCGGAAATGTGTAAATTCCCAGAAAGCTCATGTTTGTACAACTCAAGTGTGTTTATCAGACTGAAGAGAAGTTTGGAATGAAAAATAAACACGATATAAATTTCACTTTTGTCTGTCTGCACCTGTCAAGCAATGACACGGCAGCTCAATAAACAATTTAACCTACCAGGAAGGATGCATGTATACTGAAGGAGAAAAAACTCATTTTGATCAATGATCACAACTTTCATGTGGAGGAAGGAGGAAATTATTGTGAGAGCAGGGGTGCTCTCTAGTGGACAAATAGAGATGATGGAAGGCAGGCCAAATCTTTTTGTTGAGCAAACCTGCAATATTCTTTTTCAATTTTTATGGAGTGTATGTACACGGATATAGTTTAGTGTCTGTGTATTTCTTGACGTGTATGATGCATTCTGCAAACTCTAAGATTGTGGACAGCTCCCATATATAATCTTAATTTTCCAATTGTCTTTATTAGAAGATTTCCCAGATTTCAGGCAATACAAATGAATATAAAATTGAATTAAATTGACCCGACACCTTGATCTTTGAACTGGAGATGACTTTAATCTGAAACTTCCTTCACCCTTCACCCTTTCACCTGCAATTCAGAAAAAAAAAAAATGCTGAATTTAAAATACATGTTTTTCATAGTACTGAAAAGGGAGGGATTGTACAGAGTTTGTACACATAGGCATTAGTTAGCTTTTGCTGAGGTGCCTGTTTATTTATTATTGTTTTGTTTTCCAACCGGTTTGGAAGGATCAGTTTTCACAAATAAAATTTCTGAGAATAATATCAGTACTTTGTTTTGCCTCACTGATCCCATTTTTATCCTGCAGAGTTAATTTCACTGCCTTTTCCCTCCACTCACCATTAATCTGACATCAGTGACGCCAGCTAAAACACATTAATGAAGCAGTTAACACTGGTGATGTTACTTTAGGACACGTACCTCTCAAGCTTCGTCCCTGTGATGCTGTGGAAAGTCTTATGTGTTCCTGTGACACTGAGAGAGCAATGTTATTGCATGCTACAGCTTATAGTAGCTTAGTAGCTAAAGGTTGCTCATGTCCCTTCAGAAGTGAAACACAAACCTTGTGTTGTTCTTGGAGATGCAGTAACCTAAGCAATGAAGGGTCTTCTCTGATTGTTTTCCTCTAATTTGATTTAATTCATTTCCTAAAACAATAAAGCCTTATCTAAAAGGCAAATATATTTTTTTAAGATTTCATTTGTCTCCACAGGTGATTACCACAGGCAATCATAAATAACACAACTTCTTTTAAGAAAATTAATAAAATATAATCTTTATTAAAAACAATGAATGCATACTTAAGCAAATAAATAGATAAGTTCAGCCATTGCAATCAAACCTTTCCTCTTCAGCACAAATACAGACGGTAACACAGTGTCATTAAGTAATGCTGCAGTGTCGTATTACAGCACGATAAAGGTCATGTCAGTCGCTTCAGGTCACAAAAGCCAAAACTACACAAGTGTGAACTTTGTACATATCTTACAGCAGAATGTTGAGAGTGTGAGTTTGGTTTACGGGAGATTTCAGTGCATCTGCGGTGACAGCTCTTCTGATGTTTGGTTGACTCTTGATGAGACGTGACATCTACGTTGCCAATAATCGATCTGCTTCCACTCCAAACAACAAGGCACAAAAATGTGAAAGTACTAAGACATCATAGTTTCAAGGCAGAGATATTCAGAAAGTCATTTTCATCACAAACACAAGCTGATGACATTAATAAATAAAAACAGCTCATATTACATTTACTGTATATTATGACCCTGAGAATGTTAAACGTATTTACTGCCTTTAAATTGCTTTTGCAAATATATTATATAAAAGTTTTCAGTGTCAATGAGTGGGCTGCTACTCCAATAAATACATATAATGACCACAAAATGGCAGTAAAAGTGTATTTGCAGATAAATTAGTGTTTAAATTATTGTTTTACACAATTTCCTAGTTTCTGTTTGTTTTTTTCTTTGTGAAAGTTACTCTCACCTGGACCTGCACTTCTGATCCATGAACTCCTCTACTTCAGATTTTCTTTCTTAGTCTCTTCTTACTATGTCTTGACAAGTGTACAACTCTTAAACCTGAGTGACCAGTGGTTCCCTCAGATATGTATTTCCCCCTCTGAACTCTGTGCTCTGCGCTGTGCACAGTTCACCCAGCAGAGTGCCATTCAGAGGGTTACAGATGCCTTCAATGGCATAATATTCTCCATCTGGATCCCTATCCCCTTCATCTATTTCCTCTCCTTCTGGCTCCTCGTCCTCCCAGAGTGTTGACTGGATATGGGCGTACTCGGTTTGATCCACACATTCAGTCTCCCGATGGTAGAAGTAGCTAAAATTGGATACAATGACAGGCACTGGTAGTGATATGGTAAGCACGCCAGCTATGGCACACATTGAGCCCACAAGCTTACCCCATACTGTTTCTGGGTACATGTCCCCATAGCCCACTGTGGTCATAGTGACAACTGCCCACCAAAAGGCGTGTGGTATACTGATAAAGGCTGTGTTGGTGTGATCGGCCTCAGCAAAGTAGATGGCGCTGGAGAAAAGGATGACGCCAATAAAGAGGAAGAAGATAAGCAGGCCCAGCTCTCGCATGCTGGCCTTCAGTGTCTGACCAAGGATCTGAAGGCCCTTGGAGTGACGAGACAACTTGAAGATCCTGAACACTCTCACTAACCTGATGACTCTGATGATGGCCAAAGATGTTGCTGGACTGGCGTCATTGTCTTTGGCCAGCTCTGTTCCCAGAGTGACAAAATATGGCAGGATGGCACTGAAATCAATGATGTTCATGACATCCTTGAAGAAGTGCGTCTTACTGGGACAGCAAGTGAGGCGCATGAAGAGCTCGAAGGAGAACCAGCATATACACATGGTCTCCACCAAGAAGAAGGGGTCATGAAAAACACTTTGTGGAAGAGGCATGTTCTCGGATACATTCTTTTCTTGGGAGTGGTACTTGTAAAAATATTCCTGAAGTGGAGAAGACAAGAAAAAACATAAGACACAAGTTAAATACAGCATCACTAAACAAGAATGGAAGTATGCAACTATAAAACTGCAACTGTGCAAATTGCTCTTAAAATTATACAGAACAACATCCCTCTCAAGGAATAGGTCCATGTTTGGTGAATATGCTTAGTTGCTTGTTCAAAGATTTGGACTGCACCACTTACAAGTTTGTACAGTAATTAAGCTAATACTGACATCCTGTTAGCGTGGTTTACCACAAAGGTATATTTTATTCGGCTTGGACAGAACCAAAGTAAAAAAGTTGTGTCCCGCTCTAACCAGTTTTGTAAACTTAGCTCACAATAGCTCCAGTTTTGTACTTAGCTTAGCAGTTTAAGCTAAACTCACAGAGTAGTGGCTCAATCAGCTTTCTACTTATCTTAGTAACTTGGCAAGCTAAGCTCAGAGGACAGTGGCTCCAGCTATGTACTGTATTTTCAGTGATGACAAGTAGTATCTTCTTGGCAAGAAAGAAAGCACATAAAGTAGTTAACTGCTGGATACTTTTTGTGGTGTCCTAATAAACTACACTGACTTTCGGGAGTCTATAATGTCCACCATCTCATTGGTTCTCACTTTTGGCAACATCATAAACGCGGATGACATCGGTGGCTTTATATTTCCACATAGCTCAACGAATCTCTTTTTCAGTCCACCTGTCATTTCATCTTCCGTGTCAGTTAGCATTGCAGTTAGGCTTTAGGAGGTGACCATTCAAAACATCTTACACTTAACATCAAGTAAGAAGTATGAAAACGGATGATACGGATATAAGAGGATCAGTTCAACATGCTGTAATGGGCTGTGTGTAATATATAACATTTCAGGGCAGTTTAAATAAACCTAGAAGTATTCCTTATGGCTTTCAGTAGCGGGTCAGTGACAGTGTTTATTTCTAAAGGTGGACATTTGTATGTGTTGATCCGCTCCAAGGGCTCTCCTAAGACTAAATATAACCCTGTGAGATCTCCAAAGGGAAACATGAGAGTGTCTTGCTGCACCATTCCTCATCCATCTCCACCTTTGTCGCTATCCCATCTCTCTCACGACTGCAGCCGTGTGACATAGCCAATGCAGTTCAGCGAGTCTGCCGCTGACCTGAGCAGGAGTAAGTTACAGCAGTTTCCTGGCAGCTTGCTTGAGCAAAGGCAGCCTGGCCTAGCACAGCAGTCTTGGAGGAATGTGTTAACATGACCCAACTTATGCTACTCATGCTGTGAGACCTTTGAGTCTCCGGTTCTAAGCCAGCGGAAGGCTTTGGCTCACCCTTGTCTATGTGTTCAGTCACTTGTGTGACCTTCTGCTAACACTCCTACCTGTCTCTTTGCCGTCTCTTTCCTTTCTCTCCTTTTATTCGTATTCCAGGCAGCACCCGTTACTCCCTGTACCCTCTACCACTTCCTCAATCCAAGCGTATCAGATTTAACTGCCGTCTAAAATAACCACACCATAAGCTTATCTGACACTCTCTGGTTTGCTTCCAGACATATTGGCCAATAGTTGTCAGTATTTTTCCTAATAACAAACTGTAGTAGTCATCAAGTGTGTGTTTACTTTCAACACCTGCTTCTAGTGTTCCACTGCTTTCATGTTTCCTCTTGACACAAGCAGTCACAAATCCCATTCAAGACCTCATACCCTAGTGTTTTTATTTGTGCTGTTACAAACTTATAG